CTCTCTCTCTCTCTCTCTCTCTCACACACACACACACACACACACACACACACACACACGCACACACACACACACACACACACACACACACACACACACACACATTTTCACTCTACTAAGCTCTGGCGCTACGAGCTGTCGACTGCTACTATTTCCAGCCTCACTTGATGCTTGACCGATTGCACAAGACTGCAACAGCACATCGGCGGCAGGCTCGAATACAAATTGTGCTGAAGCTCTGCTGCTGCCTGACATTTTTACTTTGCTGAAGCTCCCAATCTTCTACTTTTCCGGACCGGCTCCCCTACTTGCCGGCCTCAGTTAGTTTCCGCTCCATCCGGAATTTTCACAGACTTTCCCGAGACTCAGCTGCGACTGGACTGACGGACTCACACGACTGGACTCCCTAACAACCCAGGCCTACTGAACTGTCCAACCTACTGGACTCGGATGGGGCCCACAAGACCTACTCGGCCTACCAGGGCCTACCAGCTTACCTAAGCTACTAGATGGGGACTCTGGACCGGATCTGAGACTTAGACGCTGAGACGCGTGAGATCCTTTCACTCCCACCGGCCTGAATTCGAGGTCTTCACCCGAATACCGCGTACGGTCATTAAACCTGTATTTGGGGCAACTTTGAGTCTAGATGCAGCGATAATGACTGTGTTGTATTCGGGTGAAGACGGTAGGACTGTTATCATCTTCAGCTTCGATGTGAATCCCTCTCGGAGCCTGCTCATAATGAGAGAGTATTCTAGGAGTGGTAAAAAATAAAAATAAAAACAAAAATAAAAATAAAAAAAAGTTTATTCTGGGTTGTTGGTGGAACGTCGATTACGTAGGATGGGTCATCTGCTATCTCCCACTACATCTAAGACTTCCCAAGGCCCTCTGTATGCAGATAGCAGTTTCTGAGAAATACCTTCTTCTGGCATAAACTCCTTGGACCTGCGCCGAAATCAGTCACCTACAGCAAACTGCGACACCTACACGTTTGTGGTTGTTTGGACCGTACGGTTATAAGACTGACAGTTGCCCCAAAAATGGCGATAATTACTGTACGTTCTATCGGGGAGACGACAGTAGAGTAGACGCCTCCCCTGCTCTCCATGTGCTCTGAAAGAGCAGCAAGATGGAATCGCCCCAACAGCAAACAATGTCTGAGCGTACTCGTGAAGATCTCATCCCTGTGCGTGCGTGCATGAGTGCGTGTGTGACACACACACACACACACACACACACACACACACACACACACACACACACACACACACACACAGAGAGAGAAGGAAAACAAACGGACAAATGAGTCAAAAGTTCAAACAAAAATTGTCAAAAAAGGAATGATATGAGTTCACAACCTGACCAGAAAAAAATACAAAGAAAAAACGAGAAAAGAAAAGAAAAAACAAAACAAACTCGGATAATAACAAGTATTAACAACCAAATTGAACCAATCACATAATCATCCGTAGTAGTCGATTAAAAAAACTCGTTACCTCAACATTTTCCTCGTTCTTTTTTTCACTTTTTCAAGTCACGATGCAGCAGCAGCAAACTGGAAAGAAAATAGGGACAAGTGCGACGAACCTACCAGTGCATTATCTCGAACGATTATCTGAGGCTCTTCATGTTGACGAACAAGCGGGCTTTCTGTGCAGTTCCGCTCCGCCACCTCCTCATTATGGTTCATCCCACTTCCATCCATCGCCGTTGATTCCGTCCCCTCTCCCTTTCTTCTCCCACCCGAGGAGCCGCCCTGAGACAACAACAGTTTCGTTAGAGTGCCAGAAAACCAGTCGCAATGGGTAAGGTACAAAAGGAAAACAAAGGAGGTGGTGAGCATGACGATGATGATGACGATCACGATCACGATCATGATCACGACGATGATGATGATGGGCAATTTGTAACTCAAGAAGAAGGCGCAGAATGATGATAATGATGATGATGATGATGATGATGATGATGATGATGGGCAATTGACAATTCGAGAAGAAGGTCAAAATGAGGAGGAGGAGGAGGAGAGGGAGGGAGCAGGAGGAGGAGGAGGAGGAGGAGGAGGAGGAGGAGGAGGAGGAGGAAGAGAGGAGGAAGAGGAGAGGAGGAGGAGGAGGATAGGGGATTCAAGGAGAGATGTTAGCAGAGGGAGAGGAAGAAAACTGGCGTTGCATAATGTCAGGTGGAAGGACAAGTTGAGGACGGAGGTGGAGGATAGGGGAGGGAGGTATTAAAAAAGAAAGAAAAGACATATTAGTGGAGGACGACAAGGAAAGGGATAGAATCATCCAAACCAAAAAGTGTTGAGCAGGGGGCATAAAGGTCCTGAAAGTAGAAAAGTAAAGAAAGAGCGAGGAGGGTGAAGAAGATGGCAAAGCAGAATTCAAAGTCACTGTGGTGGAAGAGGGGGGAATACCGAAGGCCGGACAGATGACGACAGTAGGTAAGGGGGGCGAGAAAGGAGAAGAGGTGGGGGGGGAGGGGGGAAGGGGGAAAGGGGCGGGGGCAGAAGGGTGCAGAATAGCCAAAAGAGGCCAAGGGAAAGGGTAGGAAAAAGATAGAGACAGTTAATGACAGCTTAGCTTAGGTGATGGTAATGGACTACCACTGCAGATTTTTTGGGCCAGATCATTGGGACTCTGGGAAGGGGGAGGGAAGGGGGGAGGAAAGAAGGGGGAAAGAGAGAGGGAAAGAGAGAGGGAAAGAGAGAGGGAAAGAGAGAGGGGTGAAGGGGAAGGGGGGGAGGGGAGGGGGAACTAAGAAACTTTTCAGCCCTTGGGACCCAGGGTTGTGAAAATCAAATCTGAAGGTTCTTTGGGGGGGAAAGGGGAGGGGGGGGGGAGGATCAAGTACTTTGTCTTTGCCAGTCCTTCTGGGGTGAGGGTCAGTGAGGTTGACGGCTTGAGGTATATTGGCCCCTTGCCCCCGAAGGCTTTTCCCTTTTGGGGTGAGGGTATATTGGCCCCTTGCTTTGGAATATTCAATATTCTCTTTCGTTGCATTCCCTTTTCTGACTTTTATTTAATTTGACCACTTATGGTAATTCAGAATTATGTCATTCGGTTCACCTGATTGCACCTGGATTCAAACTTGGATTTGTATTTCAACAGTTTGTGGGTGTACCAACTGAGCTAGGGTGCAAAGGGTCTTAAAGAGGCTTAAAGGGGGTGGCTTAGTGCTGTCTCTTATACACATCTAGATGTGTATAAGAGACAGGGCTTAAAGGGGGTGGCTTAGTGGGGGGGGTTCTTTTTCCCTGTTCAAGTACTAGGCATTTTGATGTGACCCTCCACGATTGCACCTGGATTCGAACTTGGATCTTTATTTCAACAGTTTGTGGGTGTACCAACTGAGCTAGGGTGCAAAGGGCCTTAAACTTCTTAAAGAGGCTTAAACCTGTCTCTTATACACATCTAGATGTGTATAAGAGACAGGATGTGGGTAGAGCGGAATGTGTCCTTTTGGGGCCGAAATCTTTTTGTTGTGCCCCTCTCAGGCGGGTGTGCAACTTTGCAATCTGGATGTCTCTGTTTGGGACTTGTGGCCTGTTGCAATAGCGCCTAGGAAAAGCTGGCAAGTACTGGGGCATTTTGCAAAGTTGGACGGTACCCCGTAGCGGTATATTGCAAAGATGGGGATCCAACCGATGCTAGGGGTGTTTCATTAAAAAAAAAAAAAAAAAAAAAAAAAAAAAAAAAAAAAAGTCGGAGGGGCATCCCGCTCTACACACATCGTTTAGGGGCACTTTGGCATATATCTCAACTTACTTATGGGGGTATTTTGCAAATTATCCCTTATCTATTTTATAAAACTTTGTGTTGGGGCTGCCCGGTACTCCACCCGGGCGGCCCGGTGTGTGTCCAGCACAACATTCGGGCAGGCGGGTGTGTGTCAAGGCACAGCATTCGGTGCCCGGATGCACGGAAAACAGCCTAGTAGAATATTAACTATTTTCTACTTGTTAATGTAAAGCTCTTCTCAAACTTTTTTGACGTCTTTTTTTTTTTTTTTTTTTTTTTTTTTGTAATTTGGTTCCCAAAATTGCCACTGCGTGTAGGAATGAAATGGAACACAATGTTTAACTACAAAATTCGTAAAAGACTTAAACCACCAGTACCTGGGCACCTGCGCCGCAGGTCTGACACCTCAAATTCTGGAGGCGCGAACGAAAATGGGGCCACCGCTGATCGAATTTATCAACGACGGGCTGACGTTTCGGCCTTTCATGTGGCGACAAGTTTCGGACTGCAAGGCTGGGGCCAAGTACTTGTGGTTTAAACATACATAGCCTCTGTGGATGCATATACATACATACAGCTATAATAATACTGGGCTGGGGAGGGGGGTCTATCAGGTACATGACGGGGTCTGCTAAGGCATGGCTTAGACTCTAGGGTAGGGTAGGGATATAAGTCGCTCTGGCTAGTCTGAGTTCCACCTAGCCTTGGGTAATTTAGGGGAAGGAGGGTAGGATGTGTCCGTGGGCGCCAGCTTGCCTTGCCTAGCTACTCCTGCTGGGTAGACTCTCTGATATTGGGCCTGTAGAAGATTGCATGAGCCTGGCATCCGCATTCCCCCGTACCGCAAGGTTCATCCGCTTCCACTACGGCTGGGGGATTGCCCAGCCTTTGTGCTTGTCACTGCTGTGTGGTCCAAGTTGCCCTTGATTGTGGTAGGGTGATGGTCCTGAGTGCTCGTCACACTGAGGTAGGATACTAGGGATAAGGGGTGCGCTAGGAGTATTAACGTGGGGAAGGGTAGGGAAGGTGGTGTATCCTGTCAGGAGGGAAGGTAGCATATCCTGTCAGGACAACCATCGGCTGCGGCTGCCCGCGATCACCATGGGTCTAGTCCTTGGCCTCTACAACACTTTGGCTTAAAAAAAATTAAAAAAAAAAAAAAAAACTTGAAAGGGGGAACAAAGAAAAAAAAACATGCTTCCATGTGGAGTCGTAAAGCTCCGACTGCCATGTCTTGGCAGTCTCATCCTCCTCTTCATACGACTACTACTGATTGTGGGCGTGGGCACTCTCTCTCTGTCTGTCTGTCTCTCTGTCTCTGTCTCTCTCTCTCTCTCTCTCTCGGAGCTTTGTTTTGAGAAAACGGGCACGCACACACACACACACACACACACACACACACACACACACACACACACACACACAACTGCAGAACTGTTGAATGATCACTGAAACAAAAAAAATCGATACTACAGGGCAAATTAGACATGCCCCAGTGAAAATTTCCACCACAGATCGCAGGCGTGCCCTACCAAACGCGGAGCAGCTGCAGGAAAGAAAATGCAGAATCAAGTTCCGTTTTCGGCGACCAGTCTCACAGAGAAAGTTCTGCATATCTGGTTTGTCTGAGGCCGGCCAAAATAGAATGCCGCCTGATCATCCTTCCTCTGGTGTCATCATCGTCTCCTTCTTGAAGCTTCTTCTTCTTCTCCTTCTTGAAGCTTCTTCTTCTTCTCCTTCTTGAAGCTTCTTCTTCTTCTCCTTCTTCTTCTTCTTCCCCTTCTTCTTCTCCAATCTTCATCTTCCATCTATTCACCATCTTCTTCTTCTTCTTCTTCTTCTTCTTCTTCAGAATCTTCAGAATCTTGCTCGGAATCTTCTTCCAGAATAGTCTTCTTCCAGAGAATCTTCTTCCTCTTCCTCAGAATGTTCTTCAGAATCTTCTTCAGGTCTTCTTCAGAATTCTTCCTCAGAATCTTCTTCTTCTTCCTCAGAACCTTCTTCAGAATCTTCTTCTTCTTCTTCCTCAGAACCTTCTTCAGAATCTTCTTCTTCTTCAGAATCTTCTTCAGAATCTTCTTCTTCAGAATCTTCTTCAGAATCTTCTTCAGAATCTTCTTCTTCTTCCTCAGAATCTTCTTCAGAAATCTTCTTCATCTTCTCCCTCGGTGTTTTTTGCTCTCTCTCTCTCTCTCTCTCTCTCTCTCTCTCTCTCTCTCTCTCTCTCTCTCTCTCTCTCGTCCTCCACCGACCACAACGCACCCTCATCATGACTCTGCCTACGGTTGACCGGCGCGCAGTTCTCTATGACCGTACATACGTACGACTTCGCTACCGCCTTCCCCCGAACACACGCACTCCGATACCGAATGTATACAAGCTACCTTTCCGGTCCGGTGCAGCCAAAATGAGGGTGCGTTGTATTCGGGGGAAGACGGTAGCTCCCTGCTACTACCGGTAGACGGTCAACAGCGATCGCTGCGGTATCTAGAGTGCAGGTTCAAAAACGAAAAAACACAAGAAAAACGAAAAAAAAGTTAAGCCAGCAACAAAAAACAACAAAACACAAAAACACACACACAAAAAAAAAAAAAAAGTTAAGCCAGCAAAACACCCAGGAAAACCAACTCGCCTACAGTCTTCCCCCGAATACAACGTACGGTCATCATAGCTGAATTTGGGGTATCTTTCAGTCTAAATACACACCTATAATGATCGTAGTACACCGGACGTTGTATTCGGGGGAAGAAGGTAGTTCAGTTAGTACACCCCTGGGGCTAGGTCCCACTTGCACGGATTAAGAGACTCTGGCCGTTGATCTTTGCTATCTACGGTCAATATCGCTTAATCCATGTAAGTGGGACCTAGCCCCTGGATTGTGGAGATACAGGCCTGAGTTCGAACTCCGCCGGATGCAGATGGGTAAAATACTAAAATACTAAAATACTAAATACTAAAATAAAAAAAAATAAAAAAAGAGTAAAATACTAAATACTAAAATACTAAAACACTAAATACGAAAACGTAAAATACTAAATACTAAAATACTAAAATACTAAATACTAAAATACTAAATACTAAATACTAAGTACTGAATGACCTACACTCTTCCCGCGAATACAACGTATACGGTCATTACAGCTGAATTTGGGGTATGTTTCAGTCTAAATACAGCTATAATTACCGTACGTTGTATTCGGGAGAAAAGCGGTAGGGCCGGTCAGG